AGATACGTACATGTCTTCACTACAGTGGACAGATCTTTGAAAGCCATTTTTAGCCATTCCAGATGTGATGCTACATGTGATGCTGATGTTACCTTTGACCCATAGGGTGTGTGTCCAACAAAGCATCTTTAGCTAGCTGAAAATGGCAGATGTTCTTCTAAAAAAACATCTAGCCACAGGCGTGTGAGTGCGCTTCTTTCAGTTGAGAGGCTATGATACAAAATATCAGTGGAAATGTTATCTGATTTCACAGGTATTTGGTTTCTTTATTAAAATGGCGCCACAATGTGAAGAACTTGCTCTGGCCCTTGTTTTAAATGATTTGTCATTGAGCAAGCAGGATGTGATTGTTAGGGTCAGCAACTGGAGTGGCCTTGAGAGCCACCAGAGGGCACTCCTCATCAGACTATTGTCATTCCCTCATAAACTACATCTCCCATGATTCTCTGGCCAGACTCAAAAGCATTCATTGTTTTCACCTGTCTCATATCATCTTGTTTACTCACACTATATAAGCCTGGTTCATTCTGGCATTCCCTGCAAAGTCTTGTTTAGTGTTCTGTTTCTCCCGTGTCCTGCTTATCTTAATTCTCTGCCTGTTCCCTCGGATTTCTCTCTTTGCCTCAGCCCTGATTTGTTATTGTTTGAATTGTTCGTCCCTTGCCTGTTATCTAGATTACGTCTTTGGATTACCCTTTCAAAATAAAGGGTATTTTGCATTTGGATCCTCAGCCTTTGTCTCGGAGCAGTTCATAACAGTGATACTGGGCTAATTTAGACTGTTGTCACAGGCAGTTTGTGTAGTCCATGGGTTGAAGTGACCACCCAAACACACCCCCCAAAGATGGATTTTTACCCCCTGGAATGTGATTGGGCTAGTTTTGGCCTAGGCTTCCATTGAAAGCAACTGACGAAACAAACACTGGCTTTAGAAAAAACACTTTGGTGGACACACAGCCTTACACTAATTCTATATGACTACCCTCTTTATATGTCACTATGTCTTTTTCAGTTTATGACAAAATGATGCCCCAAGCACCTCTGGAATATTCAGCCTTCGATAAATTCTACATTTCTGATGCACCAAGCACTTCTGGAATATCTAATAGTATACTTTATTGCAATTGGTGGAATTAGATCGAGAAGGATAAGATTCTTGTTTTGAAGTAAAATGATAATTGTTCCTTTTATAATTAAATTATTATACGTCATTGTTTTCACGTCACATTTTAGTTTTGCCTCAGCTCGCCTGCCTTAGCTCACTCAGAACCTCGCCGGAGGTGATACAAAAATAAGTACCCAAAAGCAGGTACAGGTACAACTTTTATACAGTGGAAAACCAAACAAAGGCGAGCAGAGTCGAGTCGAGCTGGTAAAGTGCCATATGTATCCGGATAGATAGTCCGAAGGAGTTGTGTTCTTTCCATTCCCAAAGCCGAAAACACAACGTGAGCAGTGCCTACAATGGATAAACAACAGTGTGGACGGCCCCACTCCCAGTTAAATGTGTCGAATATGGTTAACTTATGAGACTGAGACACTGAGATTGAGTTAGTCAAAGAAACATGGAAACATGGCCGTGGTAATGAACAACCTGTTTGTTAAAGCGAATGTAAGTTATAATCCTGTATCAGAGGCAAAATTACTAAATATGCAGCGCGAATTATATATTTCTAACTCCAAACAAGTTAGCCACTGAACCAGCTTATAAAATCTTCTTCAAGGCTGAGCTGGTTGCATTTGATGTAACGTTACAGGTCATGGGATTTCTCAGATTACACCTCGATATAGTAGGCCTAGTCGTGTCTCCTTCATTGCGTATTTTTATATTTTGAATATATCCCTCCACTGCATACTGTAACCTCTTGTGCCTCGATCTGGGGATATCGTGGAGGTATTGCTCCAAAAAAGGTCACTGACACACAAGGTCATACCTCTTCCCGTCATGGCAATCTCGCGCAGTCGCGCTGGTCGTGTTTGACCATCTGTTTGACGGCAGTCGTAGTAACACAATAACTAGGGGGGCGTGGCTTTTGTGAATGGTCAATAGCTTTGCACAATCGGACAGAAACAGCAGGACACATAAAGAACACCCACCATGAGAATTATCAATTAAGATGTTGAGGAGAATGCTAATGTCAGGAAGCCTTGAAGGACACGGCAATGTCATTGGAGCTTGAACAGATGTTCTGTTTAAATCTATCTCCCTCTTATTTTCATTGTCTTAGTCTGTCTGATGTTTAAAATATACATCTATATGCCAAAAGTATGACAACATCCATATATAATAGCCAGTGCTCGGACATTTAATGTCAAATTCATTGACATTAGGGAATCAGGGTTCAGAAATTGTATAGGCTTCTATCAAATAATGCAGGAGATGTCTACCTATAAAAAACATTAAAATGCTACAGTAATAAATCATTTTGTAGCAGTGCGTCCCAACAGAATACCAAGCTAGGCTGAAATCATATAACAGTCAATGGTCCAGAAGAACATTAAAGCAGCACAGGATGTTGGCCTTATGCATTAACCAGAAAGAAAGAAAAAAACTGAACTATTGTCTTTTCAAAGTAAATTTCAGAGTAAAACAGCATTTATTGTCGAAGACAAACACAGGCACAATTGATATTTTCACTGTTTTTTTATTGTTGGGCAAATGTGTTTTGCCCTTTTTATTTAAATTTTAAAGTAGCTGATTCCACCCGTTGTTTTCAGACCACATGGGCATCTCTCAATTTTTATTTCAGGCCTTTGGATTAGGGAATTTATGCAACCAAATAATAAAAAAAAGGCTAATTGTCAAGCAGTCATCACAAACTGTTTGACTGATAGATGATCAAATAATAGCCGTGGGCAAACTGTGAGAGCATTTCAATGACAATTACAAATGTATTTGGCACAATTTTAAACATCCTAAATTTCTGCATTCCCAGTACTACAATGAACTGTCCTTTTTCCATTCAAGCTCCTTGATGTTTATCAATGTCAATGTTTATCTCCCACACACTGATTCTCCCCACACCTGGATCAGTCTATTTTATGGATATGTGAGAACACAGTAACACAGAATAGTATCAGCAGGGATAACAACACACAATGACACAAGGTTCAGATGAGAAGGTTCATTAAAAAAAAAAAAAAAGTCTTGATTCATGAGAGGAACAGGGCCCCCGTCTGTTTAAAAAATGCCATAACACTCATATGGCACTACGCATTCCCCTAACACTTGAGTGGAACTGTCAGTAAAGCATCAGCAAATAGTTTTTTTTTTTTTTTTTTTTTTTTCTGGATAGTATTATCTTTTAGAAATACGTGGTTTTAAAGCCCTCAAATGGGATAAAGCTCTTCTTCATTATTAGGCCTATGCTATTTCAATATCATTTTCATGTGATGACATAATATGCAAATTTTGTTCTCATGCACTATTATGCATGTTTGGTATAGCTTATTTATTTTGTTTCTTCCCGAATTCATTTTCTGTATGTTCAAGAACTCATTTTAATCGGAGAACATGAAATATCCAGGAATAGCGTATTAAGAAATTAATCCCATGTGCGAGATCCCCACATGATCCTATAGGACTACTTTTATAACTGATATTTAAATATGGCCGATTCTTACTCAGTCTGCTTTGTCTTGGTCTGGTAAAGCTCATTTCCAGAGTTGAAACACATCTGGTCTAATGTGTGCGGGTAATAGCGAGCTGCAATCCAGCTGCGTATCACGAAGACTCCAGCACACCACAGATTAGACATAGCCTATGTGATCTAAATATGTCTCCAGAGTCCAATCACCATGAGAAATCAGTACCACTTCAATTATTTTTAAAAACTAGAGTGTCTAACCTGCATACAATTTCAGAAAATAAACTAATATGCCTAGCAGAGTAGGCTACAAGGACAACACACGAAGAATTGTTTCACAACAAGCAATCTCTCTCACTGGCACACTTTTATTTAAAAAAGCACGTGCATTCAGTCATTGATTCGATCACATGACGTACTTTGCACTTGTAGCTACTTGTGGGGAGAAAAACGGAATAAAAAGACAAAATGCCATTATATTAGGATTACTCTTTAGACTAAATTGTATTAAATACATTACCGAATACCTATGAAACATATTTCTGCAATAACTCCAGTCCTCTACATAATTTCACAGAATGGAGTAGCCTATCTTTATTTCGAAATTTTCGAAAAACTCCAACTAACGATCTTTTGAACATAATTTCATGCAGTAATTTTAGGCCATGTTCCTAATTAAAGCGAGCATGAAGTTCCTTGGTTTATCCTTTTGTTTGGTGTTTTAAGACAGTAGCCTATGTCTCAATTGTATCTTGAGCAATAGCCTACGTTTCAATGCTTCATTATTATTGTGTTGGAATTAACTATGCATAACCATGCCACGCAAATAACTCTCCAAAGGCTGTAACAATGAGGCGTGATTAAGTAGCTAAAACATTTATAAGGCAAATCCTTGCACGTCCATTTCGAGAGGCAAACTGAATATCCGAGGTTCCTCTCCTGTATATAAAACATTTTGGTAACTGAATTTGTAATCAAGAAAGGGACATTTAAAAAAAGTGAATGATCGTCGACGCAACACGCAACTTCTTCTAACTTTTGTGGATACTGAAAAGTAAAGCGCGTCTACAACATAACATTGCATGTAAAAATATACTTCCATGTACTTTGTTTTGACTACCTTTTTGGAGGGAGTCATCCCAATTCGCACCCTTTCACCTGAAACAAGCTGAAACGGATGAACTTTCCCAACGCTCCTCCGATTACGCACGCGCTCTAAACGTTAGCTTTCAATATTTTATTTCCATTTTTAGTGCGCGTTAATAATATAATAATATACAACTGTCTTAAAATCCAACAAACGTGATCATATATGTTATGTTCCAACAGACTAGTGTACGCTCACAGAAGAATCAGAATCCGCGCGCACCCTACCACTAAACACATGGTTCAACACAAACTCCATCATCTTACCGTAGTGGTTCGCGCGGGCAGCTCCATCAGCTTGTGCGCGCTCACTGCGCTGTAATTCAACGGGGCCAGAGTGTCCGCACTCACCGCCGTGCTGTTAGGGACTTGAGTGGGGATTCCCATGCTGATCGAGCGCGAAGCGTTCATCGCAATGGACACGTCGGGCGCAGAGAGAGGAGCTCAGAGTTGGTACGCAAAGAGAGTTAGCTTAAACCTGAGAAACAGCATTATGAGAATGTGTTGGATGTCTTCCTCTGCCTATCTGTCAGCAAACTAGAACAAAGCTGCCAACAGCGCCCAACATGTGTGCGTGTGTGTGATGAGTTTGTCAATGCCAGTAACCATGTGCCGATTCGAGTATGCATGAGGAGGAATGCTCAGTTAAGCAAACTCAAGCATCCCACATACAACACAACAACAGCCCTGTGCTAAGCCCTTCATAATCACACCAAGCGTAGCCTTGTCTGCCTGTTTGCCCATGTGAATATATGTGACGTTCCTATCAATATAGCCAAGAACATGCACATCATCACCCACCCCCTCTCTCAAACCAACTATCCAATTATCCAACTATCCAACTTTAATTAACAGGTGGTCCGCTTCATCAGCAAAGTCATAGGCTACTTTTAAAATACAGATTCAGTGTGAATCCCAGAGCTAGCAATTAAAATGTTAAGAACAACAAATGCATTTACACACACAAGCTGCACACTGACGATGCATTACGTTTCCTAAAATACATTTTTTTATATAAATTATCTTGTTACCACATAAGCATCCCTTTTTTTACAATACTGTATTTTAAAGATATTTTTTGTAAAATCCAAATAAGCTTTACAGATCTTTATTAAGGAGTTTACATAATACTTCAATGAACCATAAACAATATTTGCACCTGTGGAACAATCCTTAAGACACTAACAGTTTAAAGGTGGGAGACAATTAAGGTCACAGTTCATAGGCTAAATTAGGACACTAATGATCCGTTTCTACTCTGCAAAAACACCAGGAGAAAGATGTCCAGAGCCCTACTCACCTTCATTACCATGTCATAAACCTGCTGCAGAGAGGCATGACTGCAGATGTGGCCAGAGCAATAAACTGCAATGTTCATATGTAAGATGCCTAAACAGCAAGACAGGAAGGACAGCTGATTGTATTTTCAGTGCCAAACCCCATGTAACCATGTGTCTCCCTAAATGTCTTTGCTAACTTGTTGCAAATGCCTTGGGGGAAAAGTGGAGTAACATCTCATGAATAGACAAATCTGCTGCATTCCTTGAGGACGAGATGCACTGCTTAAAGCAGCTGGGGTCAAGATACTGACTGCTTAATTCCAACCCCCCTTTGTTCAAGGACTCTTTTTTCCGTTTCTGTTAGGTTTGTTGCCTTTATAAGGGACCACAATGGAAATAAGTCATTAGGGCTTTATTGTGTTATCCCTGGCTACTTTTGTATTTGATTTTAATGTATGAAACAGTTTCATAATGTTTTCATATTTTTATATTTAAGTGGTCAAATAAAATCAATCAAACAATCAAGGGGTGTAATGATACCCTCATGTTACGATTCAATACATATCACTATACTGAACTCACGATACGATATTGCGATACTCAAAGACATGTTGAAAGCTTAACAAAAAAATGCACTGTTGATAAAAATGCTAAATTTGATATTACACTGTAGGTATAAACGAATAAGTACAATAGAGACACCAGAATAACAATATTCATGATTCTGAAGCTGAAAATACTGAGTTATTGTAGATGAATATGTTTGCACGCTTTCACTGACCAGATATATTTAAAATAATGTCGGCCACTTTTTACTGGTAACGTCAGACATTTGGCATTATCAGGACCTAATATTCCCCCATTGCATTATTATACATTATAATCAACATTTTATATTGTAGTTTAATAGCACTTAATAGCACTTATAACTCTGAAAACTTTCATTCTCACACAGTATTTTGATTTTGGGTGAACTATCGACGGTACATATTGTCACTATCCACGATACGTATTGTTGCATTTTTGTATTGTGAAATATTGTGGCACGAAATATTGTTCATGAAATTTCAGTGAAATTTGGTCAGATTGTCCCAGATGTTAAATATTTTTATGTTCATTTACACGTTAAGAAATTTCCAGGAAAAAAAAAATATATAATTAAACATTATATAATACATTATTTATTTATTCTTTTATTTATTATATTGTGTGCAAGTATGACCATCTGAATATATTTACTGTATTGGTTTAGGTGGTAATTTGTGTATTTTGACCACTGGAGGTATTTTAGGAGGAAGTACATGAATATGGGTCATGAATTCCTAACAAAGAGCAGCACTGTTATTTAAGGGGAGAAAAATAAAGATTTATGGAGTTAATTTGTGTAAAATCTACTGTTATACAAAGCTTTTTGTGTATAAGGTGCTTGTCGCTGCTTCCACAAGACTTATCCTCTTACTCAGCTCCTGCTATTTTATTGGCTTTACAGTGTCATGAGACACATTGCCCAAAGCATGGACAAATCCCAGCAGATCTAGTTGGAATGCATTGTGTAGAAAATGGTTATATAGTGCCATGGTGAGGTAAAACATCTTCATTTTACTGGTAGGAATGCTAGCTAGTGTGTTTTCATATTTAATTAGATAGGAGAGAGAGAATTGAAGGAAGAGTAAGAGGTAATTATGGTAAATATTTCAGGTGATGCAACTCTCACCCCTGACCTCTGATTCTCGGAATCACGAGGACAATTAACCTGGAACATTCAGTTAAGTTAAAGACATCCCTAAAGCCTGGCCTTGATAGAAATGCACATAATTAGCCCCACATTCATTGTTATCAATGTTTTTCATCAAAAGGATTATTTTATGTAATATTTCTTGTTTGAGAAAGTAGGGCACCAAAGAGCAAAGATGAAGACCGTCAAGTCATAAGATTCTCAACAATCACATGTAGACTTGCTGACTATGAGGAACAATGTTTTTTTCTTTTTCTGGACACTTTCGAGTATTGATGAGGGTTAGTTAAAGGGATAGTTCACCCAGAAATAAAAATTCTTTCAAAGTCATTCCCAAATCTATATGACTTTATTTGTTCTCTGGAACACAGAAAAAGGACATTCTGAAAAGTGTACTGGTTATGCTTTTCCATGAAATTATAATGGATGAGGATTTTCAGAAACATAAAGGAATCATAAAACCCGTGCGATAAGATTCAAGGTATCTAACAATAATCTGATTAGTGGTGGCACACTAAATGTTAGAGGTCTGAGGATTGTTTGTCTGGTTTAAAATTGTTAAAAATGTTTTTGTTGTTTTTGTCACTTTTAGGCAGAAATTTTAAGAAAATGACATAACACACATATGCAAGACGATATAAATATAATATATAATGATATAAACACACATATATATATATATATGATATAAACACTCTCTTCACCCCGTGGGGAGTGGCCCGGCCACCAGGCGCTCGCATTCGAGCCCCAACCCCGGGCCTGGCTCCAGGGTGGGGCCATGGCTGCACCATACCAGGCGACATCACAGTCCTTGAATTTATCTTTCATAAGGGGGTTTAACCCGCTCTTAGTCTGACCCGTCGCCTAGAACCTGTTTTTCTTGGGAGACCCTAGGGGCATATAGCCCCAGACAACATAGCTCCTAGGCTCATTCGGGTACTCAAACCCTTCCACCAGGTTAAGGTGGCTGTTCAAGGAGGACTGTTAAACTATTCAATTCATCTACCCTCAATAGTTAAAGTAGTTGCTAGATTATCAGTGGGAAATTCAAATTATCACATAAATCTCTAAGATGATTGGTTCTAAATAAAGGGAGGCATGCCCCCTCTGCAATGTACTTTTTTTCCAACACTCTAACCGATGAAAGTCAAAACGTTTGAGTTTTAACCAATGGAGGTAAAAGTCTCTATGGATCTCTATTGGATGATAAACTTCACCTCCATGAGCTTATAACTGCTGAGACCCAATCAATGAGTCAGTGAGTCATTCAATAACACATTCAATATAGTTTTGTGAACTAGATCCACCAATTTATTGAACAAATCTAATTGAAAAGAATGATTGATACAGTGCTGATTCTCAGTGAATATATATATATTTTTTATGATCAAAAATGTTATGTTGGCTTTAATTAACTTTTTTATTTTAACAGAATCCATAAATTAACTTTTTTATGTCAACAGGTTCCACATAATTGGGTTACGTTAAACAAACATAATTTGTTCATGTAACTTCAACATCAAGAAATAATTCATTTTAAGCCACCCAATTAAGCACTGAGCAGAGTGTTAAATGAACACTATCTGAAGCAGTGTTAAAATTGATTAAGAGCCCAACTAAAACACACATTGATCACCATAATGGTGACTTGCAAATTCCAACAGGTGTCTTCAATAATGATCAATCATCCCTCAATTATTCACTCATTAACTTTAACACTGCTTCGGTGTTCGTCGCTTAAAACTATTTAATTCCATTATGTTGAAGTTACATGAACAAATGATGTTCGTTTAACGTAACCAGGTTACGTGGAACCTGTTGACATAAAAAAAGTTCATTAAAGCCAACATATCATTTTTGTGTGCATATAGGTTTGGGATAACAGGGTGAGTTAATAATGACTATCCATTTAAGGGAAGCTGCACTCCAATACAGACCACACAAACTGACCTTGCAATCTGCGCTCTTTGTGTGATTTTAATTGTTTCCTGTTGACTAGCATTAGTCAGTCGTATGAAGGAGGTATTCCATTCTTCAGTTAAAAGTGCATTGAATGGAATCTGTCATAATGGACTTTTCAACCATTGAAGTGTTATTATTATTTTTTACTCTTTTGCTTGAATTAAGAGGTCAGGTAACACACAGATGGCCATCTAAAGACACATGGCCTTTCGACTCCTAAATCCCCTATTACTTTTGGCATTGTGTATAAAAAGAAACCTCACAAGAGATTCCCACAGGAAAAAAATGCCATAAATAACTGTTAAGCTTTAAGCCAGCATAGACTATGACCGACTATAACAGTCTGATCAATGTGGTGGTCAACTGAGTCATGTTTTGAAATCTAATACTATCACTTGAGACACTATGTAAATAACAAAGAAACATACAATAAAAAACATAAATGAATAAATAAATATCAATAATATTCAAAGCCTATTACAAAGAGTTCAGTGACAATGTTGCATTCAAGAATAGCCGAAGTGTGGTTTGAACACACAACATTTGTTAATAACACACCAGGGGTGCGTTTCCCGTACAACGACGTATAGTTCACTGCTTCACTACCATAGTACGATGCATCGTTGGAGAAATTAACTAGCTAGTCATGACCGTTTCCCGAAACCCACTGTCACAATGTATCGTTCAACCACGTTGGTTTTGCACGTGGTGGAGTAATAACTACTTTTAATGAAACTGTTTGAGATCCAATTAACACTAGATTTGTTTTATATAAATTACACACATCTGAGGAC